ATCAGGATGGACCAGTAGACAGCAAAGTTTGTTAGGTATTAATTATATCTTCCCCCTTCCCTTTTGGGTCCACAATGAATGGCCATGGAAGCAGCAGTCAAGAAATCAAATGACATATTACACTGGACAAATCTGCTGCAAAAGACTTCTTTAAAGTGCAAAGAAGTCACTTTGAAAACTAAGGTGCACCTGATCCAAGCCATGGTGTTTTCAATAACCTACCATGTGAAAGCTGGACAATGAATAAGGAAGACTGGAGAAGAATTGATGAGTTTGAATTGTGGTGTTGGTGAAGAATGATGAATATACCATCGTCAGCCAGAAGAGCAAACAAATCTGTCTTGGAAGAAATACAGCTTGGATGCTCCTTAGAAGCAAGGATGATCAGACTTTGTCTCTTGTACTTTCGTCATGGTATCAGAAGGGACAATCCCTGGGGAAGGATGACAGGCTTGTAAAATAGAGGGTAGTGAAAAAGGGGAAGATCCTTTTGAGATGGATTGACACAGTGGCTGCAATGATGGGGTCAAATACAGCAAGATCATGAGGCTGGTGCGGGACTGGGTGGTGTTTTGTTCTGTTGTACATAGTGTTGCTATGAATCAGAACCGACTCGGCTAACAACAATCTATCAATCAAAGTAAACTGCACCTTTCCTTGTCTTTTCCTTATATTTATCCAAGTTGTCCTTCTTTAATTCTTCTTCCTCTTTATATTCAGTATTTCCAGTATCTTTTTCTGGTTTTAGAATTGATTTCCCCTTTGGTAGCAAGAAATATTCAGCATTCAAAACTTGATCAGCAGTCATTGAACTTCTACCAAAATAAATAAATAGATAAAACTAAAAGGCTTTCACATGGTCATTCAGATGAAATTGATCCACTTCGGGGGTTCCATCTTCATTTGTCCTGAATTCTGAGTTTGAAAATAAAGGCCACAATAAAAGGTGACCATGAGCATGTAGGTTTGAACTTGGAGAAGCAGCTTTTCTCATTTCCAGTTCAGGTGAGATATCAAACTCAAATCACCAAAAATCATGTTCACTGAAGCATGCTGACTCACGGATACAGGAAGGGAAGGGGAATAAATCTCCTACCTGGTGTAAGATTGATTGGAGGGGGGCGTTGCTTTCAAGTCAGCAAGTAAGCTCTTAGACCCAGTGGACTTCAAAAGCGGAGTCCACGTGAGGAGGCTGCAGCCAGTCCTGAGTCACCCTGGTCTGGCTGCTGAGCTTGATCTGGAATGCCTGTGGTGACCCTGCAGGCCCTGGGAGGGGGAGGGGAAGAGATGAGTCAGTGTGAGCTGGAAGAGCAAGCAAGTCTCAAATGCTCTTCTGCTGGCCCAGTTCTCATCCCTGGGTCTCTGACTCAGAACCCAGGAGGGGCTGGAAAGCATACCCTAGGTTTTCTTATAATAGGGCTGTCCATCATCCCCTGCCCACATCTTACCCCACTGGTTCCCTGACTTCCACACCTCCTCAGACATCCCCAACCTGGCACACTCTCCACCTGTCCGGCCCCCCAGTCTTTGCATCTGGGCCTCGGGCCAGTTGGGGCATCCTCCTGTCTCCCCATCCCAGGTGTTCTCCCTGACCTCCACATTCTGGAAATTCCCCACAGTGGAACTGGGGGCCAGGGACATGTCTCATCATGGCAAAGACAGACCAGCTGGGCTGTCAGTTGGATTTATTGAACTGAACTCTTTTGACCAAGTCCAGCAAGCCCTTCCAGGCCCCAGAAACTTCCCAGGGTGCTCTTTTCCATTCCCTTGCCTCTCAACATGCCGTGTGTGTGTGTGTGTGTGTGTGTGTGTGTGTGTGTGTTGGGGGGAGGGGGAAGGGGCTGCGAGGACCTCCAGGAATTTGACTTCTTATATTCTCCCTTGGCCCTTCCCATATTGCTCCATTGATCCTCAGGTGTTTAGAACATGCAGACTTGAACAACATGCAGAACTAGAACAAGAACTCTGGGCCAACTGGCCCTCCTCACATGCCTCCCATCAGCCATGCTGGCCCCTCCCCCAGGGCCCAGGCACTTTCTTCTCTTGTCTGTCCACAGCAGGGCATGAGGGCCAAAGGTCAAAGAAAAAGTGGAAGTAGGGGTGCTGCAGAAAGGTCCCTTCCAAGAAGGTGTGAGATGAGGGCTTAAATTACAACAGGCTTTCAGAGCACCCCACTTTCCAAAACAAATCCACAGAACACCAGGCAAGGGCACAGGGTTTCTTGGAAGGAAGCTTGCTTCTGGCATCACCAGAAGATTCTGGTTGGGCATCACTTAGGGGTTCCAGGGAACTGTGTCCACCCATTTTGGATACCTTCTGCCTCCAGGCAGGGGTCCCCAGCCTTCAAGGCTAAAGACCTTTGACACAAACCTTTTGAACTGTGTTGCTCAACAGGAAGCAGGATCCTAGCAGCCCAATCTCCCTTTTGGAGATCAAATCTCAAATGATGTCTCAACTCTGCCCGTTAGTAGCTGGGATACAGAATTTAGACAGCCTGCCCAGGGAGTTTTTCTGGATAGTGAGAAATGGGTAGGTAGGTGGGAGGAGGTTTCTAGGAAGCAGAATTGAGTTACCCTCCTGGTTCAGTTACCCCTCATCCCACACAGGCACTTAATTTCATGTTGGATCTGTTCCCAGGCTAGGGAGTTCACCTAAAAAGGAAAGTGGCAGGTATTAAGCCCTGGGGCTAATAGGCAGAGTATGAGCTTGGCTATTTATGGCTCATTGTACCCAGGTAAATGCAGTGCAGAAGAGGAAGACTGGGGAAGGAGGGAGACAGATCTACCAGACGTTTCCATGTTCTACCCTACACCTATAGCCCCTGTGGATGAAGCCAAGTGCTAAGTACTTGGAGAACGGCAAGGGGAGCACTTCAAGGACCCTTGAGTTTGAGGGAGGATCACCTCTTAACCTTAAGAAGCCCCAGTGTGATGGGGAGAATATAACCCTGGCTCATATCCTTGCCCTCAGAGAGCCCTAGTCTGATCAAGGACACAACTCCTGGTCCTGGACAACCTGCCAATCTGATGTTGTTGTTGTTGTTATGTGCTGTCGAGTCGGCCCCAACTCACAGCGACACCTCCTTGGGTTTCCGAGGCAGTATCACTACGGAAGTAGGGTTGCCCAACCTTCCTTCCGAGGAGTGGCTGGTGGGTTTGAACCATCAGCCTTCTGGTTAGCAATCAAGTGCTTTAGCCACTATGCTACCAGCACCCCGTGCCGGTCACGCCCTGGCCCGTACTCGCACGCCAATCTGATAGTGAGGGACAATACCGCCTCAACTCAAGGGTCCCCAGTCTGATGGAGGAGACAGGATCACATACTTCTCTCATAGAAGAGCAGGACATCTGAGCAGGAATTGAGTCTTACACATCTTTACAGATAGATCATGTAGCTGCCTCCAACTTTCTCCAAGGTTCCGAAGAATAAACGTGCCTTTTCTCAACTCTGTCGCAGGAAGACAGTTTGAGTGTAAGCTCTCAGTTCACCCAGGAAACCTCCAACCTTCATGTTCTCTTGACCCTCTGCCCTCTCATTCTCCAGTCTCTTTCTCCAGCCACTTGGAACACTCCCTTAGATGGGAACATTGCCACAATGCCAAAGCCATGTGCCACTGTCCAGAGCTGGGGATCAGACTACTATGGGCCCACTCCTTCTCATACAGAAGAAGCCTTATTGCTTTGTAGGAGTAACCCCCAGCTAGACTCCACCTTACCCCAAGCCAGTTCTCAGCAAGTACCCCTAACTGAGGTCACCTATTAGTGAAGTAGGAGTGGGTGGGTATTGGGCTTTGTGCCCAGAAGGGAAGTGGGGGAAGGAGAAATGGCACACTTAGGGTGCCCTACCCATGGATAGGCCCCAGTCAGGAGTTAGAGATACCCAAAATGTTAATCACCAATCAGTGCAGTTCAGGTGGAAAGAGCAACTTTATTATGTGTAAAATGAACTTAATGTGGTGGGAGCTGTGGGTTTCCTTTCTTGAGATAAAATGCTTTTAAGCTAATCAGGTGTCTCTGATGCCTGGATATAAAGGAGCTGAAGCAGACTTTCTTGAGGCAGCTCCAAAGGGCCAGACGTAGGCTGAAGAGACGCTCGCCCTATCATTCTCCTGGAAGAGCCAGAGAAAAAGTCCGGTAAGAGAGAAGCTGGGCCAGGAGGTGGGTGGGATGATGTGGCGTGGAGGGGACCTTGGCAAACCTGACATGCTCAGCACCCTGCGTCTCACTTTCTCTTCCTCTATATAAGAAATAAGAAAGTGGCGCTGATGATTTCTTTGACACTCAGGTGGCCAAGGCAGGAAGATGAGGTTCTGCAGCCCACACAGCTCCAGGTTTTCAGGCCTTGGAAGGAAGTTTCTCCACTATTCTTTATCTTTACTGAAGACTCGTGGATGAAATGGGTCAAGCCTGAGAGAGCAGGGTATGAGTCAGACTGCAGGAAGAACTTTCCTGAGAGTTAAGCTTGAGAAGGGGAGACTAAGATGATTCTATGTGGAGTTTTCATTTAGGGCAAGAGGGCTATAGTGATTTAGGTGACAGTCAGTTTGACAGCAGGAAGGCTGATAGGAATCTCAGAGGGCTGTAAGGAGAGATAATCTTGCCAAACCACATGTCTGTGAAGTTCAGCCCTGGAGCTGGGAGTGGGGGTGGGGTAGGGTGCCCAAGCATACGGGCCTTCATTGCTTTATCCTCCCTGGATCTCTCTCTTATTGCCCTTCTCCCATCCTACTCAAACCTCATCTATAAACCAAACCAAACCAAAAGCAGACTCACCTCTTGGCCAGGACCCATGTCCCTTCTAGTCACTAACACAAATGCTCAGCACGTGCCCCGCCCCGCCGCCCCGCAAGGTGTTGCTCCAGCCTGTTAAAAAAGCTCTAAACACCCCCCCAGTCCCTGCCCAGCTTTCAGAACCATCCTCGCAGGTACTGCCTCCTCAGCATAGCACTTCCCCTTATCTTGGTCTTTTTGTCCCTTTGCTCAGGATATAACCCTTGGAAGATGGCGAGCATGAAGATCTCTCTGCTGTTGGTGTCCCTGCTCCTGGCAGTGGTGCTAGGGGAGAAGGAAGAGGGTCACTCCAGGTAGGGGTGATGGTAGAGGAGGGGCCTGAAAAGGGGGCTGGGGGTATGACTGGGTCCTGGACTCTGTTGATGGGGAAGTGAGAGAGGGACGGATCCTACGCCGAGAGAAAAGACGCTCAAGGGAAAACTGCCCAGCAGCCTGAGTGCAGAGTGAGACCAGAACCGGAGGGTACTATGGGCTACTGTGGTAGCAGGGAAGAGCTCTGATGGCACAGTGGTTAAAGCATTCGGCTGCTAACCAAAAGGTCAGTGGAAGAAAGATAGGCAATCTGCTTCTGTAAAGAGTTGCAGCCTTGGAAACTTATAAGGCAGTTCTACTCTGTTCTATAGGGTCACTATGAGTTAGAATCAACTCAGTGGCAGTGGGTGTTTTTTTTTTTTTTTTTTTTTTTGTTATAGTAGGAAAGACTGGTTAAATATCTGGAAGGACTTCTTGATGGTTAAATGTCTCAAGAAGTTGATGGAATCTTCCTTCCTAGGGAATACTGTAACCATTCATTTTTAAATATACTTAATACAATTTTAGGAGCTCTGGTCGTAGTGCCTAAGGCACTTGACTGCTAACCAGAAGGCTGGC